TCTGTAGAGTAGAGTAAAAGGTAACAAACGGAATGCGAGAGAAACGACAAGGTTTGTAGGCCAAAGGTGCTTGGAAATTGCAGAGTATACAATCGGCATACACGTATTTGATAAATAAAGCTGCATGCTGTCTAAGGTCCTTTATGATTATTATTATTATTATTATTATTATTATTATTGATTTGCCATTTGTATAATTCACTTGGATTGTTGTCTCTGATTCAAAGGGAAACGTTTCCGCATGAAGTTTTATAATGACAAGCTTAGGCAAAAGACACACATATCAGAACCAGGAACTATGCGGAAATAATGGTCCGATATGGAACGCCGTTCAAGCAACAATTCGTTGATGAATCACTTGATTCATCATCGACGAATAACTTGATTCATCATCGAATTGTTGCTTGAACGGCGTTCCATAGTCAGAAGCAAAACGACATGAATATACAATCACATATATGAGAATATAATGTAACATATAGCACACACAATCATTATAATATGTTTAAAATTAATTTATCAGAAAATATAATGTAATATTTCATAAATAATGATTTTAATACTTTGATAGGGATGATCTGGATGGAACCATGCTACCAGAAGATTGCCTATATACCACTCAAAGTAAATATGAATCACATTTAACAATTATATTTATTATCATTTTTATGTCAAAGTTACTAACATTAAAAAATTAAAGTGAAGTGAAAAAGTCGACATATGCATTTTTTTTTCATTATCTGATCACTATTATCATTATTCAGCCTGTCAGGCCACTCAAACTCCATTGTATTCTATTTGTTGCTGGTTTGCCCAGTTAATTCCAAACTCTTTTTTGGGAATATCAAGCCATTTGGCATTCCTCATTTTCTGTTGTTTCCGTATGCAGTTGTTAGTGTTACCCCATTTTTGCCCATGTGTTATGGTCATTCAAAACTACTTGGTCTGCCCACTCCAATGAAACAGCTTTTATTCAAACATCTTTTACATCATTATTTGATAAAAACACTCAACCATAAAAATAGCATCACTGTGAAAAAAAGAAAGATGATATACTGTACCGGTATACACTATTATTATTATTATTATTATTATTATTATTCTTATTATTATTATTATTATTATTATTATTATTATTATTATTGTTATTATTATTGTTATTATTGTTGTTATTGTTGTTATTGTTATTGTTGTTGTTATTGTTGTTGTTGTTGTTATTATTATTATTATTATTATTATTATTACCAATATTATTATTAGCATTATTAGCATTTTTATCGTTATTATTATTATTGCTATTATTATTATTTTCATTATTATTTATATTATTATTATTATTATTATCATTATTATTATTATCACTATTATAATACTACTGCTGTTGTTACTGTTATTGTTGTTGATATTATTATACTCTCATTTTTTTTTCTTATTGCAATCTTATAGGAATATTAAGTACGTTGAAATATGTATATATAGTAGGTTTTGTAGTAACCAAAAAACATCGACCACATCTCCTTGACCATTCAGAGCAGTTTCCAACTAGGACCACCCTCCCTAATTCGTCGTTTAAGCAACAACTTTTAACTTTTTCTATAACCATTGTTAGAAATTTGTTTTTTCCCTCTGCGTTTGCGTGCCAAAGACTCACCGCGCGAAAAAACTCGTGTTCATTCTAGGTTTCAATAAAATCATCTTTATTTTTGTTTGGAAACCATTCTAGATTTAGACCTTCTTCGCAGCGTTCGCCACGGCGAAGGTCAGAGCAAGAAATATATAGGTCTATTTTTAATACAAAAAAAAAAATTCGAATTGAAGTGTAGAGTGCCATTTCTGGCCATTTAGAGGTTCCATAATCATAAATGTTACTTCATATGATCCATGCGGACCACTGATAAACCTCGGCATTGAGTGTAATTTAGTTATATGGGTGGAATCCTTTTTACATAACAGAATGCAAAGGGTCAAGCTAGGTTCTCTACTTTCTCAAGTTGGGTGCCTTTAAGTGGAAGAATCACTCAGGGGTCGTGGCTGGGTCCTATACTTTGCATGGTCTTTGAACTGTCTTTGAGCGCATTTAACTAGTGGGCTCCAGTCACTCCTCGAAATGGCTACCAGATGGACTGATGAAAACATGGTTATTAATAATAAAAATACACAAGAAATGTTGGTGAGTTGTAAAAAGAATAAGTAAGAATTTGATCCCCTGTTTATTAAGGACGGAAAGAATTGAAAACGTGAAGTCAGCTAAATTATTTGGAATTTATATTTCTTCCGATTTTCCTTGGCAAAACCAAGTTGATGAAATGATAAACAAAGAACACCCGATTATATTTTCTTAAACGCCTGTATAAATCTGGTCTCTGTGTAGCAGGATAAATCCATTATAACTTAAGTGTTATACGTCCGGCTCTTGAATATGCCGACCCTCTTTGGGGTATGAGTATCACAAATGAGCAGTCTACACAACTCGAACTCATTCAAAGACGTCCTTTTGGGATTATCTTCCCGGGGGCCGATTATGACTGAGCCCGAGCTGCTGTTGGGATCCGTCAGAGCGGCGTACACATTTATGCAAACAATACTTTACTAAACTGAAATCACCTACCCACAGACTTCACCACCTCTTACCCAAAATTCATAATACTGTACTCCATATAACCTCAGACGTGACAATAAGCTATCCTTGCCCAAATTCAATACCAAGTGAACAATGAATTTTATTACTTTCACCGGTCTGTTCAAGGAATGGTAAAGACCTGTAATTCCTGTACGCCTCTCTGGCTTCAAAATTGCATTTTTTATATTTGTCTCCTGGTTGTGTTGTAAATTAATTGTATTGTTACAATAATACATAATATAATAATAATAACAATAATAATAATAATAATAATAATAATAATAATATTAATAATAATAATTATAAAAATTATATTAATATAAATTTGTTCGTATTTTATTGTTGATGTGACGAGTTTCTGTATTGATTTTTTTTTTTATCTTTCTCGAGGGTTTTCCAAAATTGTTTATATTTATATATAATTATATTTTTATATATTTTTGTATTTCTATATTTGTTAAACTTCTATTTGTATTTTATCTTTTGTAATTTGCAGATTGCCATTAAAGAGTATTTTGTATTTGTATTCATCCCAAATCATGGTGGGGTTGAGACGGTAGGCCAATAGACCCTCAATCTGTGGAAGTCCATCCCTGGCCCTCTCTGTTTCAAATTCCTGGACCGCAACTGATATTATTCATTTCGTCGTTAAAAACATTTTGTATTTAGAATACAATGACAAAACAATATGATTAAAAATCCTTTCTTGTTCCCTCTATTTCGAATTCCTGGTTCCACCACTGACAATGTGGTGGATATATTCAAGGTCCAGCCGGTCTGCCCCCTGTATTTTTCAAAACTTAAAACATGGCAAAAAAAGAAAACAATATTCAATAGGAGAGTGCCAATTCCGGCCATCTAGAGGGTCCATAACCATATATTTTCTTACCTCAGACCAAACCATGCTGGAGCTGAGGTGGTATCGACCCTCCATCTGTGAAAGTCCCTTCCCAGCCCCCTCTATTTTAATTTCCTGCCTCCACCTATGAAAACCGTTTAATACTCTACCCATATTGCATCCATTCAGAATCGATTAAATAAGACCTCAAATTATCAAATGTCTGAGCTCCGCCACTCGACAATAGCAGGGTTTCCCCAGCTATATAAGTCTACTATCACCCACCCACTGTACTGCGTACGGGCGGATAAGGCCAACTTCTACTTAGGGGACATACTGTTACTATTTAGGCAAACGTTCTTTTTTTTTTTGGTCCAGAAGGTGTCTCCTTATCTATTTTTGCTTCTAGATGAACTTCTATGTTACACGTTAATGCATTCAATGGGCAATAATACGCAAGCTGTTGAAGAATGTAAAAGTAGCGGCTATGAGCTAGCAGAGATAAACAACGTCCTCATTCTTGATAGAATTGCGGAACTTGTTAGAACATACGTTGAAGCTGCCAGTGATGGGCCCAGGCTTCCTACTAGACGATATTGGCTGCGTGTGATTCAAACTTTGCAGAACGTCTCAGAATCAGGTCTATGTTCTACTTATGAGAATTTTGTTCCTAAAGATGGGAGATGTACTATCCTTCGGATTAAGAACAGTGGATATGACGTCAGACAGCGCCAGTGCCAAAACAGTAAAAATATGAATGGCTTCGTATGCCAAAAACAACTTGGTAAGCATACACAAACGAAGAATAAAACAGATTTTTGACCATTTAAGATAATGTTTCAATTACAAATTGTAGAGTTACATCAATTGACCATGATGAATAAAAGGTGCAATAGACCATAATGCCAATTTGAGAGACAAAAATTGTAACGGTACAGAAAATCAGTGGGAACTTACTTAAAACCACCACACCTTTTGGAATCAATATTAGGAACGTTCTTCCAGTGCACTAAATTAATCCAATGGTATTCCAAATTTCATTAATACAATTAATAAATTGGCTTATTTACAGACGCGTGCCTCTAAATTTCATATTTTGCTTTCATGTCCATTTGTTGTTCACCTTGTTTATTCACTCTCACTAACACCCTACCTCTAGCCTTAACTCACCTATTTTTTTTTCTAATCAGTGTTTTTTATTGCCCGACTTTCTACTATCATATGGCTTTTCCCAACCTCACTCACTTGCCACTGATAAAGAACTGGTCTTGTACAAAAGCTGTGGATATATTTATTTTTCTTTACCGACGTTTTAATTTTAGCTCTTGCTTATCAAGTTTGTATCTCTACCGAGATCCACCCAATTTTTCTACTGCTGATTTTTCAGTATTCTGCCTTTTAATTCATATTATGTATGTACATATATACATAGATCAACAGGGGCGGATCTAGAGATGAAAGGGGGTGGGGCGAAAGGGGAAGGGCCACAAGGAGTCGAAAGTGGGGCTGATTGAGATTACACTATCCCAGGGGATCCCGGAGGCATGCCCCCGCGAAATTCTTGTGTTCTAGACGGACGAAAATAATATCCGTGGCGTATTGGGCGATCAATTTTATTTCTTTCTTTTCCCCCTTTTTTTTAACTTTCCAAATGAGTGGGGGGGGGGAACACTTCCAAAGCCACCCTGGATCCTTGATGATATCGTATGAGAATCCGTGGTCTAAACGGTATGACACTCGTCGAGATAGCGAGAGATTCCCAATATAGACCACCTTTTTTCATACAACTATAATAAGGAATTTTCGTTAATGAACCATTTTTGATACGATTTTATAATATCATGTTCCTTTATATTTGAGTACCGGTACTGTATTTTTATGTTATGTTCTTTATTATTTGTGTTACCAGTGCTAAGCAGCAGCTTGATTTTCGTATTATTTCCTTTACCAGCTACTTCCTATGAGATATTTATGTAGTTCAGGAGTTGGCACCACTATGTTTGAGCCCTCAAATTGTATGAAGGAGGAGAGCTGGTGTTAGATCCCTGATGATATAGTAAGGGCTTCAACGGTATGAGCTCGCCCAGTGAGAGATTGCGTGTTCGATTCCCACCAGAGACCTCTTTTTTCATACAACTATAATTAAGAAATGTTCGTTGATGAACTATGTTTGATACGATTTTGTAATATCATGTTTCTTTATATTTGAGCACTGTATTATTATCTATTAGTATATATATATATATATATATTTTATATTATATATAAGCCTATATATATATATATAAATCAAGAAATCCTTAACACTGCTAAATTATATATAAATCATCAAAGAAAGTAAATACAGTGTTTAGCTATATATATAATATATATATATTATATTATATATATTATATATATGTACGGTATTTATATATATGTATATATATATGTATATATATATATATATAAATCAAGATAGACTAAACACTGTTAAATTATATATAAATCATCAAAGAAAGGTAAATACAGTGTTCAGCTTATACATATGTATAGGCCTACATATATTATATATATATATATATATATATAATCAAATATTTACACATGATTTTTGTTATGCTTCGAATTGTTGTTTTGCTGGATACCTTTATGCATACGGTACACTACAATTGATCTAAATGAAATAGTATTAAAACATATATTTTATATAATTATTTTATGTAGTGGTAACACGTGACACACCGACGACACGATTGGTCAAGACATTTACCGACGATGATATCACCACGATAGATTACGAAGTGACGCCAGGGGTTATTTCTACACAACAGTCGAAACAAGATGAATCTAAAATGTCGAATGCTGTTATACCAATATCAATTGCTTTAGCGGTAGCTGTTATTGGTATTGTTGTCTTAGCAATCTTATTTATAAAAAGACGAAACTCGAAAAATGGTGCACCCGGGACGAGTCCTCCAACACTAGAGATACATGGTAATAATAGATGCTAATTGTTACTGTATATTTATTGTTGTTAAAGGTGCAATATGACGATAGTGTAAATATAAACGCATACAGGTGCGTTTGTGGGACAGCAGGTGTGTTTGTAGGACATGCGCCTATTTCTGGCCCCTTGTCGGCCAGTTAAGTTTGATTGACATTACGGAAAAGTACACTACAAACGCATTCAGTAAACAACCATTTCCTTAAAATTTTAAACAAATTTAGGCACTAAATATTTATGAAAAGATTTAATATTTATAAAAAGATTTCAATATTTCTAAAGAATAATTATTTTGAAATATTGATCAGATTTAAGTCAAGTATATTCAGTTCATATAGCGTGAGAATATATTATGATTGGGGTCATTAACTCCAATAAAACAGAAAACTTTAATATGTTTAGAAACACAATCCACAATGTTAGAAGGCCGACATTGATCGCCACAATCAATTGTTAATTTAAAAAAACCCCTTAAGGTGTTCGGAAAACTTAGGCGTCACCATCCTGTAAATACTAATTACACACTGATTTCTACTGTAATTCCTGTTGGTGGTAAAAAGAGACATAAGCCTACATGAAGAATAAGAATTATAACGATAATTGAAAATACTGATAATCGTAATAGTGCATAATGGCTGTATCAATAATAATAATAATAATAATAATAATAATAATAATAATAATAATAATGTTATTGATAGGTTATTTATAATATTAAGATAATAGTGATATTATTATTATTAAAATTTATTATGATAATTAGAATGATAATAAATATGATGATAATGCCGATGGCGATGGTTATAACGACCAGGTTAATGAGGCACATAAACAATCATACTGGCACAGTATAACTATAGTATTACTAAAAAAAGGACTAATCTTTAAGGTATACAACAGCCCAATACTGCAACCAATCTGTGTAAGTTCTGTTAAGTTACAACACTAGTCTTAAACCTTTAACATAGCCATGCACACTTAAATCTACTAGATTGAACTACTTACTGTAGGCCTATTTTACAATTTGAAATTCTTTAAATATATTTTCCTCTTAGATGTACCAACAACCGAAATGAATCAGCAAGGTAATGGTGATAATTCTTCAAACCTACATGCGAAATATGGAGCTTCTTTACAAGAAGACTATGTACAACTTAATGAAACTGCTCAGAAGAACCATAACCCAAATTATAATAATCAGTACGAATATCCGGTGTTTCCATTTTCTGTTGAAAATTCGAAAGCTGAAACTCTATTGAATGGCGATCAATATGATGTATTAAACCTCGAAGAAGAGGGAAATACTAACTCCCAATATGATGTGTTAAGCTGCGAAAAAGAGGGTAGTCTTGACGCTCAATATGACGTGTTAAACCATGACTACGAGGGAAGTCTTCATCCTCAGTATGACGTGTTAAACCGCGAAAAAGAGGGGAGTTTTAATCCTCAATATGACGTGTTAAACCCCGATGAAATAAGGAAAGAGCAATCGCCAGTTGTATATCCTGAAGATGTAGAGGATGAAATGCCCGAAGATGAATATTTCTATGGTGACTTCAAACAGTGAGAATTTGTTTTGATCAAAATAAGTTCTTAAGAAAAAAAACCATATTTAGGCATGCCATTTGCTTTGTTAAATAAAATGTCTGAAAATTACTTTACAATAAAAATATGAAAATACACCTTACATTATACAAGGTCCCGTTTGTAAATATTATATTAATATCATAAATTTCTTTTTATATAGAATCTGTCTATATATCACCTATATTGATAATAACTTATATTGAATAGCTACCAAACATATTTTTACAATATTGAGATCGATTGTATTCTATTTTTGCTGCTAATAATATATATAATCAATCAATTACTTTCTCAACAGGTCAATCAATCAATCAATCAATCAATCAATCAATCAATCAATCAATCAATCAACTATACTATTAACCAACAAATAAGAATATATCATTAATTTTATTTTTGTTTATAAATGATAATAACAATATTCTGACTTTTGGATTTTCTTTAATGTTAAATGTTCAATGTTTATTTCCACAATTCAATAATATTACATTATTTATAAGTCAATCGTGACGCCATCACTGTAACTCCCAATGTTATTTGCCTATTCCCCAGCGTCCTATAATTTTTTTTATTATTGGACGCCCGCCTTGATTTTTTAAAGGTTCGTGTGCAAAAAAAAAATTCTCATTCATATGCATATCATAATAACAAATTTAATGATAATGATAATAGTAATAGTAGCAACAATAACGATAATAATAAAAATAATAGTACCGACAACAATAGCAGTAATAATAATAATAATAATAATAATAATAATAATAATATTAATAATAATAGTAATAATAATAATATCAAAGACAGTAATAACAATAATACTATTAATATTATTAAACAGGGAACATATTAGACCACAACAAGACACAATGTATAAAATTAAGGATTAATACAATAACGATGTTGAAAGTTGCCTCCAATCGGATTCAAACTTCTAACTTCGTTAATCAAACCCGATTTCAAAACTTCTTATATTTATATTTGTTTCGTATCTTCTCAATTCACAATGCTATAAAGAAACATTTTTTTCCATATGCCTACATGCAAGATGTGTTTGGTTTTATCCTAAAAAAATAAAACTAAATAGTTCCAACCAAACAAAATATTGAATATTTCTGTTTGAATTTTTATATATAATTATATTTTAAAAAGGTGGAAATATATTTTGATATTTCCTATTGTATTAACATGTATTATAGTTGTATTTTATGTATAAAATTAAGGGTACTGTAAATCTAGGCCTAAGTACTGTCAATGTATTAAACTATCATCCCTTTATATTGCAAGATAGGCAATACATCAGCTAATGTTGGTCTTATTGAATGAAATAAAGTCATTAGACTCATCGTAAAACATATTATACTTTTGTTAGAAGTGTTATTTTGTACACATTATTCTACTACTTCACATTTATGGACGCTGTGATGGGAATGATGATATGTTTGTGATGATGATGATGTTGAAGATGATGATGATGATGATGATGATGATGATGATAATGATGATGATGATGATGATGGTGATGAAGATGATGATGGTGATGATGATGATGAAGATGATGATGGTGAAGATGATGATGATAATGATGATGAAGATGATGATGATGATGATAATGATGATGATGATGATGATGATGATGATGATGAAGATGATGATGATGATGAAAGATGATGATGATGATGATGATGATGATGATGATGATGATGATGATGGTGATGATAATGATGATGATAAGTGAAGATTTATATCCACCAAAATGACATAATAAAACAAAATAATAGTAGTTACCATACGCCTTCATTTTCGTCTCTGTTATCCCGATCCTTTTCTCCTGTTTTATAAAACTCAAATCCGCACAAACACTTTCCAACGCAGATATGTTGCTGTCCTTTCTATCTTCTCTCAATATGTTTATGTAATGCTGCTGTTCCACTAAAATAGATCATGCCTCTACTATTTTTCGTGTCCGTGTAACTAGGTCTACTAGCAGCCTCTCTTAACTCTTATTTTTTGTCGGAACTTGCTATAACGGCACTTTACCAACATTTTCT